GTGGAGTGAGAGACAAATGCCCAAAAAATAACAATTATAAACCGCTTTGTGACTCTGGTCTGTGAAAGGTGGTATATAAATAAAGATTACTTACTTACTTACTTACATGCAGGTGAAAACTGGTGATGGAACTGGTTTCAAGAGCGGGGAACTATAGTTAGATGGATTTTATAACATATTACAATATTGTTTTAAAATGAGGTCCCTCAGTTTTTAGCTCCTACAATAGTAGTACACCTTTACATTGGACGAGGTTCAACGATCTCGCTTAACTTATATGCAAGACAAAAGCTTTTTCCCACAAGACAATGCCAGATCTCACACTTTAAATTTGTTTTTATCTTGTTTCTTAGTGTTTTACAATGTGCTTTACTTTGCTGCAGTATTTACTATTATTCCAAAGTAATTTCAAAACCGCAAATGGACTGAACTGGATTTCTATCTTTGTCCTTGTGTCGGGGCCCGTCTCGCCGTGGCCCTGCGCTCCTCTCGATGTAGTGAGAGAGACATCTTCCATTAGATCCTAATAAATCGTAGCCAGGTACGACAAGCCCGGCCTAATCAACCCTGACATTGCACACATCGGCGTGGCTGTTTATCTTTTCAATTAGGGCCTCTCAGCCTTATTTGTATGTCTACAGGCAGGAGGGGGATGGGGGACAGAGACGAGATGGGGCAGGGGTGCTTGTCTGAACCAATCACCGCACACGCTTCGCTCAGTAGGTAATCATGGGACCGTCAGTGACTTTCCACAGCTCTGACGGGCAGCGGACATTAATATTTATACGGCGCAGTGAATCAGCCCCACACTGCGCTCTCCGACAGCAATCACCCCATTTCTTTTTCTTCTTTTTTTAATATCCCCATCCAGATCAATTGCGATTAGCATTTCAAAACACTCGGCAAAAGCTCGCAGTGGGCCTGACTTCTCATTGTTCACCAGATGAAGAGAGACGCGCAGAGAGCAAAAGCTGCCCGCTCCAAACTAGAATATGTTTGAGCTAAAATTCTGTTCTTCTGAATGAAAAGCTTAGGGGTGATTTCCAACCGACTACAAACGAAAGTCAAATGGCGAGTCTTGCGAGAATCCCAATCTGAGAGAACCCATGACAAAAATTTACCTGTGTGGAGAATTAGCATGTCTTTATTGTGGAGATGGAAAGTGACATTTGCCAGCATTAGATTTTAGCTCTTCCCTACCACTGCGCTGCCATTTCACAAACCTTTGTGTGGACCGCGCCGCTTTTGTCTTCACCAAAGGACAAACCAATCTGCTTATCTCCGAATCCAGAGGGAGCGCGGGCGTTTGTTTTGCAGAGATCGAAGTAAAAAACGCAGGGAGACGATAGTAACCTTCAGAACAATTGAACGGGCTGGAGGATGTGTGATGCTGCTTATATGGGAGTGTTAAGCGCACAAAGGCTGGGATACGGTCCACTGTCTGGGCGGCCCCACCGAACGTTTATTTGTGGTGACAGAGTGGTTTGCTCTCTCCATGTTGCTGTGTATCGCGCCGAGCTGAGCTGATTGCACGATGTGGCCGGATGCTGCAGAGTGCACACGCAACAGATGATGAACGAATGATACTGTTTATCAGCACTGGACGTTTCATTCCCCCGTGTTTCGACAGGTCGTCCACGCGTTTTGAAATATGTATTTGAGACTGGCTTTGCATTGACTTGCTGATGTGTGATATTACAATTATGGATGTACAGAGACAGTTAGTGATGACTGGACCTTTTAATGTTTGTGATGAGAGTATTTACTGACTGATGTTACCTGTATCTGTCAGAATCACATTTTGTTCCCCTATATCAGGGGTCTCCAACCTGTAGCTCGGGAGCCAGCTGTAGCTCGCCATCCCGTTCCAGGTAGCTCGCCAAAGGATTTAGAGATGAATAAAATCCAATAATATACTTCATATAATAATAATAATTCAGATTGTATCATTCATGATCATCATTTATTATTGTCAATGCACGCACTCTGTCACTAGTAACAAATATGTGATGATGAATAATGGGTGTTCCCCATATCAGGCTCATTCACACCAATATATCACAGATTTTTTCCCCAGGGCCGCTAAAAGGAGTAGCTCTCTGCCTTTATCGTCCCTGGAAAGTAGCTCTCTGGGTAAAAAAAGGTTGGAGACGCCTGCCCTATATTGTTCTTTGATTCAGTCTTTTCTTACATGCCTCAAAAAAAAGGGATGACACACACGTAATAGAAACGTGTCGCTATTTATGTGGATTTTGTTTACAATTGAGAACTATAGCAAGTGACATTCTTTCATTATTTTAACTAAATAATGTGTTTCTGTTTGTTTTTGATAATTAAAAGGAAATATAGATATAGATCTAGATATACGTAGATATTCTCAATCTATGAAATACAGGTTTTTGAGTTGCAAGATGTCTTCAGAACGCATTGATTCTGCCTTTATTCTTTCACTCCTTACACTGCTACTCTAGCCACAGCTGCCCTGGGGCACACTGACAGAAGTGAAGCAACTAGTATGTGCCAACAGACCTTCTGACCACCACCAAACCAGCACACACCAGACTCATACTAGTGGGTGAAGTGTCTTGCCTGAGGACACAATGACAGTTTGGCACTTTACAGCCGCATCTGCCCCACTGTGAGACATGGTGTTCCCGGAGGTCTCCCATCACGGTAGCCTGCCCTGCTTAGCTTCAGAGGTCTGATGGGATCTGGCTTTCACATACAGGTGGTGTCACAGATACAGTAGACATTTTAAATGTTGGCATTACATTCAAACATTACATTCAAATATTCAAACTCGATGAAAGACTCATGAGTGAAGATAAAAAAAATGTTGATTGCGTTTTTTTGGATAACCCGAATTTTTGGCACAGCCTTCGGTTACGCTGAAAACAAGATCCAGTCCCCATTAGGACAGAACCTGGTGGACACAACCCAATCCAGGCCAGAAAAGTTGTGCCAAAACCAGTAATAACACAAGACCATAAAGGCCTAAACTCGCCATATTTTTAGTGAAGTTCTTTGTTGGATTACCCTTTTACCAGTGCAGTAATGACACATTTCTGCAGCTTTAATTCGTATAGGAAAAAGCAAACACCTGACATTTATTGAAGTAAGCGAGAGGGAGAGAACGCTAGCACTCCCCGGGGTATAGGAAATGCTCTTTGCAGGCTCCAGTGAAAATAATGATTCACCAAATGGAGCACTTTAAGGAAATTCGCGCTCAACTCTCCTGGCTCCTATTCCTTTTTATTCTCTGCTCGGAATTCTTGCTGCACCGTAACATTGTCTTTTTAGCCTCCCGAGAGTCGCACAATCCACTCTTTTGCACGTACACACATGCACACACGCACACACCACTCAGGCGGGTCTACAGACACGCAGGCAGGTGGCATACAGCTGTGAATCCCCGGTGAGGATCTTGACCTTTTCGTGTGAGCCATGTTGTCCATAAATATCTCTAACGCTTTCATATTCCAGCGTTTCAAAGTGTGCCTCTGTCCGTATCGTGTGTGTGTGTGCGTGTGTGTGTGTGTGTGTGTGTGAGTGAGTGTGTTTGTGTGTCATGGTATCGGTTGGCGTCTCTGGAGTTGACCTTTCCATCGCTGCTTTGTCCCAGATTAGAACTGACACCGCCCTCTGCTACAGACCCAACCGATACCGACACCGTCACGAGGGCCGCAAACACAAGCGCAAACACGACACGGGGCGAATGGTGGTGCTTTTTAGTTTTCGGTAGGCTTTGGATTTATTTTGTAAGGCAAGGCTAAGTTTATTTAAATAGCATAGTTTATACAGTACATCAAACAACTCAAAGTCTCTAAAAAACCAAGATAAAAACATTACAAGGCATTCAAATCATACGTAATCACAGTACATTAAAAAGTACTGTTTTCAACCTGGATTTGAACATAGCCAGAGTTTGATGCCTGGTTTAGTCAGTGTTTTCGCTGGAGGGTTTCATATATGGTCTATGCATGTGCTTTTGGTGGTGCGGGAAACCGGAGCGCCCGGAGTAACCCCACCCTGATATGCAGACTCCACACAGAAAGGCCCATTTCCCCTTTTATAGTGTTAGCCTTTATAGTTACAACTAGGGATGAACAAATAACAACAGGACAGGAGTCAACAATCGGTTTGAGGAACATGAGTGGGATCAGGTACTGTCATGTCGGCTCGGTGGCAGAGTTAGCACGCTCGCCTTACAGCAAGTCCTGGGTTGTAATCCTGTTCAGAAGGGAGTGGAGTTTGAATGTTCTCCTAGTCGCTTTGAGACTCCGATGTGCAGTGAAAAAGCGGTATATAAATAAAGAGTCTGTGCAGGTTTTCTCCACGTTTATAACACACACAAAAATCGATTGAATCTTTTGTGCATATTTCTATAATACTTGTGAAAAATTTACTCCCCTAGAAGCTGTGTAAAGATTATAATTTGGGTTCAACATGCAAAACGTGTTGTGTTGTATGTTCAATAACACAAATGTCTGTTTTTAGTGGGAGAAGATACTCCCATCACATGTTATTCACATAATGATTGATATTTAACGCCAAAGCATTTTGTTGTTCTAAGTAGACAAATCTGGATTGGTACATACCTTTCAAAGCGTGGAAACAAAGGAAAAATAATCATTAATCACTATAACAGCATTTGTATTCATCACAGAAGCAAAGGAAAATGTGCAAAACACAAACAAGAGCGACATTTGTAAATCCTGATTTACTCTGTCAGATTGAGGTGCCAGGTTGGTGGACCGTGAAAAGAAGCCATGCGAAAAGCGCCATGTTATTTCCAGGTGTGAACATAAATTACAATCTTTTAGGAAAGTGTGTAAAAAAAAAAGAGTGTGTGGAAGAGGCCATAAACACAGATCCTCTATTGCGGAGGTGAAGGCGGGGCCCGTGTGAGCTGCTGCTGCTGCTGAATGCGAATGGGGCTCAGTGGGTAAGAGCAGAGAATAACGCTCAGTCTGCTCTCCTCTCTCCACTCCATTTCACTGATGGCTGAGCACCCCCCCAAGCCCCCGCCGCTCCGCACGCCCGTGAGTGTGCCGCGGGGAAGTGGCGTTACAGTACCTGCCCTGATCTAGAGTTATAAACCTCCCATTGCTACTATCTCATTCATCTAATGCAGTTCCCCTCTCACCGACACCTGGGGGGTCTTGGTGTGTACAAGCAGAGTTTTTTGGGAGGCCCTGGCTGAGCTTTGCTGAAGCCGCGGATGGAGGGGTTGTGCGTCTGGATGGTGGGGTTGCGCGTCTGGTCGTTTAACCCGGGCGCTGACCCTCATCACTCACGGCAACCGGTGACAGCACAGCGGCGCAAGGAGTCACCACCTCTGGAGCGGGCAGAGCTGAGGGCAGGGCCTGGCTGTGTCCCTGCGTGTTTGTTTGTTTGTTTGGAACAGAAGCAGAAGACGCACGAAGGACTTTAGTTTAGAATATACTGGGCCTGATGGCGACCAGAGAGACGCTTACGTACGATTAAGTACACACACTCAGTACTATGTTAAGGGTACAGACTTAAAGAGTTTAAGTAAGTTATAACACATTACATAGTTATATTATGCAACTCTATGTAAAAAAACTTGCATTTATTTCTTCATTGTGGTTGTAAGAGTCAGCATGGCGCCTTTTATCACAGTTGTGTCTATGCAAATCCCCAGGATCAATTGTTTTGTAGGTTTTCTGGTGAGCAGGTTTGTCAGCAGAGAATACAATTGATTGTAGAGCATCCTAGACCTATAGGCTGTAAAAGTTCATACAGCCAATGGTTTTTAGGTCCACATTTATGGACCTTTATCAAGATTATGGACATTGGTCATCGCCCGTTTATGGACCAATGGCTCTTTGGTTTTTTTTTTTAAATCATTGCATTTCTTGTGTTTGAGCTGTTTGATCCTCTAATCTGTGTTGGGCGAATTCAACCGTTTTGTAAACTTCTCTGAGACACCTACTGGTAACTACTAATTCAATTGAATTGATTGGTCACTCCAAGGTCAAATGAGAAAAAAAAGCTACTTTTTCCCACATAAAAAGTTGATGGACATAATCCCGCCCCCATAGGGTTCAACCTGTCGAAGCAATGCTAACCACTTCAAACGACCGGTCTAAAGGTACCTGTAGTTACGATAGGGGAGCCACTACAGACCTGTCTTCATGAACTTGGAAGCACGGCTAACCACGGAACATATACCCATGAACACTTAGAAGCATGGCTAACCACTACAGGTCTGTATGGATGAACTTAGAGGCATGGCTCACAACTACAGACCTGTCTTGATGCACTAAGAAGCATGCTAACCAGTACACACCTGTCATCATGAATTTAGAAGCATGGCTAACCACTTAAAACATGTGCAATGCCAATGTGACATCGTAACAATGTCTTTCACGCTTATTTTATGTTTTTTAATGTTGTTATCTACGAGTAAATTACTGATAACAAATTCTAGCCTGAAATTGTCTCTTCTGTCTTTTTTCAAGACTCGAGGGCGGTTTGGCAAAATGTTCGGAAGATGCAAATTAAACTGTGAAATACTGCAGCGCCGGATGAAAACAAACATTTATGAAAGATTGGATTTCTAAAGTCATCGCTCTTGGATTTGACGGATTTATAAACAGATCACAAGTGAAATAATAGGAGCACGCACCAACTATGAAATCTGAATAGATGTCAGCACTCGGTGGCCTTTATCAGTAAAAAATATGTGTTTAATATGTTTCAATCATGATCAACATGAGTCCAAGTGACCGTGAAAAAAATGGTAATTTCAGTGGAATCTTGAAGCAGACAAAAAGACTGCACACGATGCTTTTCACCGATCATATAGACAGGGACAGCTCTGGGTAAGAATAGTAGCTTCAGTGTAATATGTATGAAAATGAGGCAAACACGGATCAAAATTCAGATAAAAGAATAACAGTTTTTTTCATGAAGTCATTGTCCACTATGCAGGCAGATGGTACAAATAACACTCACCCTTTTTTTCCAACAAGATCTTAGGAGCGATTCCAGGTGGTGAGAATGTTAAAATAGCTGCCCCGCACGCAACCCGGTGCCAATATCACGAGGGGTAAAGGCGAAGATAGAGAAAAGTTATTCTCTTTGATGCTTAATGAGCAGATGTGAGCCAACTTGGCACACTATCAAACTTTTATTACAGTATATTAAATGCGTATTGATTGAACGCGGGATTAAAAAGGTAGAAGACGATTTTTTTTACGGATCGTTCATCAGGGAAGGCAAATTTAAAACCGTATTATTTTTGAGCTTTTAACCTTTTTACAACATTGTTCCCCTGTCAAAAAGAAATAAACAGAGTTGGAGTTGTTTTTAGAGGCATACTTCAAATATCATGTGCTTAAACAACTTTTAAAACAAATTAATTTTCTTAAAATGTATTTCAAAAATGTATTTGGTGAAACAATGCATTTTAGAAAGCAGATGGCTGTGGTTGTTGTGTGTAATTATTGATGTTGACAAAAATAATGCATTATATTTCTTCTTCAACGCAACTTGAACCGTCAATGGACTGAGTGAAAAAGACGTTACTGCACAATAGGTTGCGTTCATGTGACATCACAACACTTAGAAAGAGCCTATAGTTTGACATTGCGGTGGAGGGCAGTTGAAAAATCTGTCAAAATCAGATTGTAGTCTTAGTTTGGAGCTTATTTCTCTTTAATCCCTGAGCCAATCCACATGGGAGACACACGGAAATCTTATTTGTCAGAACATGTAAACTATGGTCTAATTATTAAGTGTGTCTAAAAGTGGTGACAATAATCCAAAACATATGCATGAAGAGCTCTTATAGGAAATGATGAAAACATATTACGACAATTTTCCACGTATAATTGAGAAGGTTAGAACCTCTAGATTTTTCAGTAGCTAGTGTTGAAATAAGCAGTCATCATTCAGGCAACTTCAGCAAACTTCAGCACCACCAAATTTCGATTTTAACTGCCCAAATCCTATTGGTAAACTTGTACTGCAAATAATCCACAGAAATTGGTATAAATTCCCAAAAATTCCCAAATATCACCTGTTTTATTTATGATGTTTGATTAGTTTTTGTCAATATCGGCAATCCAGACTTCAAAGCTGGCTCTCCTGCATGATAATGGTCTCAAGGCAAATAACCAAATAAAATGCTAATTACAAACAACAACACTGAGGACGGGAATTATGCTAAACACGGCTATTTCCTTCAACCTCTTGTGTTTTGAGTTAATAAATGTACTATATCATGTGTATGTTTTGAGCCTTTTCCCAAACCCCAACAGCCTCTTTCAGGCCTGGAGGTCCGACTAAGCAGAACTGGGCTTTGTCTGAACACATTAATATTAATACAAAATATAAATGTGGATTAAGTCAGCTTTATTGCGTGCTGATCCCACTGATTTTCTGCTTGCCTGTAATTAATAGAAAGAATGGTGCTTGATATTGCATGCTAATATTCCCCTCCGGAGTTCCATGAGCTGTGGAGTCTACGGATACCGCCTAGTAACATGCAGTCATTAAGAATTCTACAGGCGGAAGAAGGGAAGATTATGAAGTCTTTGTAAAAATGCCTCGCACATGTTTGTAGACATTGGTTTTCTTCTACTGTGTTGAACTTGGGAGTTAATTAACTTGATGTTTATCAAATATTTAAAGGAAACGCACATTGCAGAAATGGTCTTTTTGGAGTTTTTAATCATGTTTTTTGTTCGCTAATATCAGCAGCTTCTGGCACAACTACGCCCCCCTGGCCCTTCTGTCCAAATGCTCTGGGTTAAAACTGGTTACTATTATGAACAATCCTCCGACGTCAAGAACAGAAAATGGTTTTGTATATTTTTCTAATGAAGTTTCTTCAAAATAGACGCTTTTAGGGTGTATTTCTTCTGCTTTGAATCACTGTGTTGGGTGTTTTTGATACGAGGATAGCACAAGGGATTAAAACATATGTATTGGATAAACTGTAGGGCTTGACTTGCAACTTTTCAATGCACAATCTAATCTATGGTTTGTCTTGCATTTTTTGTATGAAAAGTAAGTCACTTTAAGTCACTAATGCACTAGGACTGAACAAAACAGCACTGCTATTTTTATTGGCACTTTTTATTCTTCATAAGTATATCCTGCACAGACTATATTTTTTACCTTTTGCCAAGCGTGACATGTAAATTTCTCCAATGTGAGATCAATAAAGTCTTAAAAATCTTAAAAGCACTTTATAAAGAGCATCACAGTAGATTAATAACTACGTCCTCTGACCCATGGTTGTCTTATTTTACGGAGGCAAATCTGGTCAATGTTTTTTTGTTTTATTTTTTTTTTTCTGGTCAAAAAAAAAAAAAAAAATGTTTACAAACCAAAGTTGAGGCTGAAGTTATTTTGCCCCCATTAAATATTTCAGGACAAAACTCTCTTCAGTCGTCAAACTCTATAGAGTAGTTCTATGGATGAATACCTTTTGATTCACTTCCAAACTCACACATGTCACTGCATATCAAGTACTGCTAAAATATCCTCAATTCCATGCATCTCAACACTTTGGCAGAGTTGAGGCTGAATTCGTTCTATACCAATTTAACCTTGCTATTTCCCACGGCAGCCAAGCACTTCCTCCTCCATCGCCAAAGGACGCCTTACAACCGGATCCTTTTAATAACCTGGGTAATTACATTAACCTTCATTAAATGGATTAATTGCATGTTTAGTGCTCATCATGGCCAACTGTATAGAACTTTTATGGTCAACATCTCATAATTACTGCATAATCAAAGCCCATTTATATCTGAATCTTGAACCTCCTTGACCTGCATTATATGAAGAATGAATGGGAAAGCACTGGAAGAAAACTTCAACTCTTTGGCGTTGCGTTCGAAACATGTGGCTCTCCCTCGAGTCGGAAAAGCCTTATTTATTACGTCTTATTCAAATGTTCCATATTGTACCCAGTGGGGACTTAGCCCGCACTGCCAACCGATGGAAGGAGTCCATAAATTCATGAGTTAGATTGGGTATTGCCTCCACAACGGCTCTCCGGAGTGGCGTTCGCGGGCCGTTCCTGGTGCAGTGAATTGATTGTAATTGCACATCTGTTTCGGCTTCACTTTTAGTTAGCGTCGGTGAAATGCGCCGTGCATATTCATCGGCTGGAAAAGGATTATCTGGAAATCCCAAGTCGGAGAAAGACATTGGAGGAATTAAGATTTTGCTCACGTGAAGTTCAACGCAAAGGTCGTGTTTCTGACCCTTTGTCGCTTTTCATTTCCATTCATTTCAAAGTGATCGCGGTGCCGAGCTCGCGTTGGTTTTTAAAGACTGAAGAGCTGTTGTCTTTGTTTTGTTTTTGTTACATTTAGATTGATTTTGTCTAGTTTTTCTCAATAGGTTTCAGGTTTTGATGTTAATTTATAATTTTTTTACATGTGAGAAAAT